GAGAGAGAGAGAGAGAGAGAGAAAAAGATAGAGAGAAATAAGTCAAAGAAAGGGCATTTCTAATTCGGCATATCGAATTAAAGTATTCGATTGTGTCTCAGGCAATAACTGTTACAATTCTCTAGCTGAATTTCTATGTCTCGATAACAATGAATGAGCTTGGAAAAAGCGCTCTGATGCACTACTGTGGTCCGTTATCGGTGGTTGTTGAGACGCCTTGAGGTTTTTTATTGAGAGCGGGGATTATATTCTGTCAATCTGCCCGATATTTTTACGGGTGTGTAGTACCTTTTGGTGGAGCGGGGCCAGTTGGAGTTGTGTTTGTGGCATGGAAACCGTTTAGAAAGTTCTTTATGCTGCCGCTTCTGTTGTAAGATACGTAGAAAAGTATAAATTAGGTGCCTGGGCCTTCAGCTCGATACACGATAAGCGATATATACGATAACGATAAACGATATACGCTCGATAGCATTGGGCTTCAGCTAGCTGTGCTGTAAATAGTCGACAGGTAGTTGTGGTTCAGAGTTTATCGTGTTCAACTTTCTTATAGGATTTTTTTTTCTTTGTTTTTTTTTTTTTCATTTTCTTTGTAGATAACATTTAACTATTTTATTTATCGTATAGGTATCGGAAACAATTAATATATCTATGTAAATATGATGTATGCTGCTATTTCGGTATATTTTATATGTGTGTGTGTGTGAGTGTGTCTTTCAGAGAGTTTGTGTTTGGTCCAAATTGCTAATATGCTTTAACATCTTGCTGCTTAACTATTTGTAACCGTCCATAACAAACATTTGTCCAATCCGGAATCTTTAACGCAATGCCTGAACCCACAAAAAAATATTCAACTTTAGTTTCTTCTCCTTTTCCACTGATATTTAAAACATGTTTGCAGTTTGTTGGGTTGTGCCTGTTAAATAACAATCGTATTTTTTAGTTCATTTGTTTTGTTTGTTTTTTTTTTTTTTTTTCTTTTTTTTGCTGGGGGGTAGCTTCTAAAGGGGAAGCGTGTTGTTCTTTAATTGACCGCCAAAATGTAATATTTAAATTGTACATCGAAAAGAATTTGTTTATGGTTTTTGTTTTTTGTTTTTCATAGTTTCGTCAAGTCTAGACTAATTAAATTATGCTTAAAATTGTTTAAGTTTGTTTTTGGTTTTTCTCATTAAATTTTTATACATTTGTAAAACACCTAGAATTTTCGTTTAGTTTACTTTTAAATACATAGTTTTAGCTTTAGCTTTAGTTTTTTTTTGTGTTTTTTGTTTTTAGTTTGTTGGAAAGATTTGTAAATTCAAGTATTAGTCTTTATGTTATTCATTAAACAAGGGAAGTTGTGGCATTTGAAATGGGCATGAACAAAATACACATATACATATCTATACACACATGGCGAGAGCTTTCACACGCACACGCCACACGCACGACCAAGCGCGTGCTGCAACGCATTGGCTGCCCAGGGGCTGCACCAATACATATGCAGGCTAGGTGCTGTGATAGTCGTTAGGCAACAGCTGCAAAATATTCCATGTGTTGGCTAATGTAAGCGATTTGAATAATTCTTTTTCTTTTCGATCTTACTTAGTTAACTAAATACACCTAGGAGTTGGGACATTATAGTAATTATAATTGTGTCTCTTTGCACGTTGTTTCAATCGTATGCACATACATCTACACACACATATATATTATATATATATATATATAAATTGTATGTGTGTGGGCGTAACTTTAGTTAGAATCCTAGTCTAACTACAAAAAAATAGACATCGACATCGAGCAAACTTTTTGTTTTTTTTTTTTTTAGATGATGTTGTTGTGTAGTTATTTAACAGACATATTTGTGTTGGCCCAATTGGGTTTTTGGTTTAGTTTTGTTTTTGTTTTCAGAGTTGTTTAAGCCAATTTTAAATTTTATGTTTTTTTTTTTTGTTTTTTTTTTTTTTTTGTTTTGGTTTTTGTCTTTGAACAGCAACAAAAACAACAGCAACAACGACAACGCTGACGACACTTAACTAACTTTAATAAAAAAAAAGACTATTTCAATTACATTAAACATACACATATACATACATATGATTATATAAATTTGCATATTCTCTTAGATATTTAAAAATTTCAAATTTTTGCACAGTTTTTCACACATTTTTCGAGCGCCTTTCTTCAAACTGCTTTCTGCTTCTTTTGCTTTCGCATATATTTCATTTTGTGGTACTTTATTCATATTAGGTTTGTTTAATATTTAACTATGAAAAAAAGAAAAGTTTCAAGTTGACAAAAAAAAAAATATGTAGGACATTTCTATAGAATAGCAGTTACACTTACGGTTATTTTTACTTTATGTATGCATGTGTGTGTGTGTGTGTGTGTGTGTGTGGGCCAAGTACCAGCTTGGTGTTAAAAACATTCCCATCATTTTTTAAAAATGTTATTTATTTTTAGTTTTTAATCTTTCTACAATCCCCTGGCCTATTGCCACTGCGTGACGCAGGCGCTAAAAAGTATGCAACTCTTTTTACATGTCCTTTACATATGCACACATGCGTGTGGCTGTCTGTCTGTGTGTGTGGGTATGTGTGTGGGTATGTGTTTGTGTTGGTTTGTGTATAGTACATTTAACATAATTACATACAGCAATTTACATTGATATTTGTTTTTTTTTTTTTTATTGGTTTTTATTTATGTTTTTTCTTTTTTGGACTTGAATTCAACAATTTTATTTTCTTTACGTTTTTCATTTGCTTTTTCATCCTGTTCGGGATATGTTGTCATATTTTCTTTGTCAATTTCCGTTGGTTTTCTGTGTTTTCCATTGAAATGTTTATTTATCTACCCTTTTGAGTTGTTTCACTTGATGTTCTTATGTCTGGGTTAGTAAGAGCTCGCGCCTTCATTGCCATCGTACCGGAAATGCACTTCTTACAGCGCCAAAGCCATGCGTGCGAGTGTGTGCGTGTGTGTGGGCAAGAGGGATCTTTTGCTTTTCATTTGATTAAATTTTAGATTTGAAAACATGAAGATGAAAATTTGCAACTCAATCGCTGTCATGAGTGCGCAACAGATCTGAGCTTCTATTCTATAAAATTTAGATTTAACATTTATTTCTCTCTGATATTTTCGAAGGGCATGCGACCACGAAGGAACATATAAATGTGAGGAAATGATAAGAGAAATTGATAAGAGAGAAAAACTGTAGAAAAACCACGATAAAACATAAGAAATAATCAAATATATATATATAAAATAAACTGTAAGACACAACGAAATCTGTTTGATGTCCAATTGGCTGTTCCTAGGTCTTCTGATATGCAAGATATTTCAGCAAAACTGCTAGACTTATCCGAGAATTGAAATAAGCTGAAACGTAGCATACAATATCTACATTCCACATAAAGATCTCTAGTTCTTACAGCTTCTGAGATCGACCTGTCTGTAGTTATATATATATATATATATTATGTATATATATATATGTATATATGTATATATATATGTATAGATATGTGCTGCATATACTTTTAAAGTGTGATGTGTCGAAAAGACATTGTTAATAGAACAACAACTCGAACTGACACCCCGCCTCATTAGGCAACAAATTTTTGGAATGCCATAATAAGTATCGATATCGACATACACTCGATATTTGCACGCAGTCCGAAAATCAGTTGATATCCGTAACCTGTAATTGAGTCACAGCAAGAGGGCAACATAATTATATGATTGGTCCATGAGCTGCTGGCCGTTTTCGTTGCCGTTGCCGTTGCGCTGGCAGCCTGTGCGAGCGGCCAGCCGCTATTGGGTTTCCATTTCAAAATTTGCTGATAAACAAACATGTGGCAAGTAAGCACAAGAGCCCGGGGCCAGGCACGAGCACCAGTTGCGGCTATTCGATTGTCGAGCGATTCGCTGAAGTATAATTGCGTGCCAAAAGCAGCGGCAACAGCAGCTGCAGCCAAATCGAATTTCACCTCACGATGACTTTCAATAGCTGCGCAGCCCAAAATCAGCTGCAACTGGAACTGCAACGGCAACTGCAGTGGCAGTTCACTGAAGCGCGGCACAGTGCACCACAATATACCCACATGGTGCGCCCGAAAAGCCACATACAGGCAAATGGAATTAGGCGGACACGGACGATGTTTGGCCAAATGGGTGGCATGCAACTTATGGAATGAATGATTCGAGCTAGATATGCGAACGGACCTAGTTCGTTGCGCAGTTGCATATGCAAAATGCAAAATGCAAAATTTTTGTTTTGTACAATTGAACGCGAACACAACCAACTGGTCCGTGGCATGCAACCTGGCCATAATGTGCAACAGACAACGTGTACAGCCGGAGGTGAGCATGGTCACGGCCATTTGCCTTAGAAGACTTTGCTAATCAGTTTGCCAAATGCCCAGCTGCAGCTGGACACACGCTTCTGGCATATTGCTGTCATGTGGCAAGTGAATATATATACATATATAGATACTAGAAAAGAGAGAGATATTAAAATATGTAAGCGTTTAAATAAACATATTGTATATAATATTATATAATATTTAATAGGTATATATTTAAAAAATAAGCATAATAAAATAATTAATAATAATTGTCAATATTGTCAAAAGAAATTGTGTTGTGCGTGCGTGTGTGTATGTTTGTTTATAATTGATTTAAAATAGTTGATAGACCAAAGAAAATAAAAAAAAAAATATATATATTAAACTTGCATAAGAATTGTTAAAATTTGTGATTGGAGTTTCGTGATTATTGACGTGTTATCGATAAACGCTTGGTTGACAAATGATAATATATTATTATCGATATCGATGGGCTATAGATTGAAGGGTTGTTGCTAAACAGTTATTGATCGACGATTACTGTTCTACTATCGATACTCAACGGGTTATCGATAGCAGTTTATCGACTAACTACAATCAATAGATTATGTATCCTTTTGCGATCGACAGCTTGCAATACGCTAACGATGAATGATTGTCGATAAATGATTATATGGTGTGTCATCAAAAGATGATAAATGATTGTTGCTGTATTATCGATGGATGTCAAACGTTAATGTAGATATGCTACCGATAGGCGATAGATGATGCATGTTATTGACCAACGATTACCGATAAGCTAAACTCAATAAATTATTACTCATGTGTATTGGTGATAGGCGATTAGTGGCATGGTATCGATAAACGATTATCGATAGCAATGGCAATGTGTGTGATTCATTTTCGTTTCCGTTTCAGCTAACTATATTTGGCGTCTCCTTCTTACACATTCTCCGGCTCGGGCAACTTCCGCTCACAGCAATGGCAGACGAGCGCATTGAGCCGATGGCCAATGGCCGACCACACGGTCATCGTCATCGATGATACCTCGCAACTGGAGCTGTCCTGGTGCAGTGCATCCGCCTCACTGCTGCCGTCCGCATCGTCGCTATCATTGACGATTGCCTCAGCTTCGGCCGTGTGGAACGCCGCCTGATTGCAGAGCGAATTATTTGTATTTGTGTTTGTCGTATCGGAGCTCCCCTGTTGTCAAATCTTTGGCACCGCCTCCGACGAGGAGCCACTGGCCAAACCCAGCTCACAGCTAATGCTGGGGGGCAAAAGTCTTGGTGGCTCGATGACAACGCTACCAGCATCACCAGCCACACCGCCAGCAGCATCAACAGCACCAGATGCATACTCACTGCCGCCATCCTCGGCGCTGCCAATCCGTATGCGTACGCCGGATAGTTCGCCGATGATGCCGCTGCCGCTGTGGAGCGTGTTGTTGCTATTGTTGCTGTTGTTTTGCTCGTCGTGACGCGACGATTTGCGGCTGCTGCTGTCAGCGGATGAGTAGCGTGTTGCGGCATGTCGGCTGCAGGGCACGTCCAGGCTGTAGGCCCGATGCCTGGCCACGCCAACCGCCATGCCTGGTCCGACAGCCTGGACGCCTGGCGAGGGCAGGCTATTCGAAATGGTGCAACAGGTGGCTGCCACTTGTACTTTGTCGGCGCTGTTGTTGTCGGTATTGTTGCTGCTGCTGTCGTTGGCCGGCGCATTGTTGTTGCCGCGGACGGCGCAAGGGCTGCTGCGTGTGCTGCCAAAGCGTTTGTTACCCTTGTCAAAGCTGAAGGTAAAGTAGTCTGAAAATTGACGCAAACGCGACTTCCATGAGCTGCTGCTGTTGCTGCCCCCGGGCTGCTGCTGTTGCTGCTGCTGTTGCTGGTGCTGCTGTTGCTGCTGCTGCTCGTCGGCAACAGTTGCAGTTGCAGTTGCGGCGCTACCATTGCTGGCCAGCGTTTGGTTGAGCGTCGGCGATATGTTGCCATTAGTGGTAGCTGCAGCAACAGTTGCTGCTTTGGTGGTTGTTGTTGCTGTTGGAGCTGCTGTGGCTGGCAACTTATCCTTATCCTTCTCTTGCTGCTGCTGCTGCTGCTGCTGCATCTGTTGCAGCTGCTGTGCAGTAGGCAGCAACGATTGCTGCAAGAGCGGCTGCTGGAGCACTGGTGCCACTGGCGCCTGGTTGTTGCTAGTGTTCATGTTGAGGTCCTCGGCGGCACGCCCAGCGGCCCGCTGTGCCAGCTGCTGCTCCAGGCTGTTGCGATTGTGGCGTCCATAAAACACATTGCTGTCGGAGATGACCTGCGGCAGGCCATCGGACAGACGACGATTATTGGTGCTGTACTGGTCGAGGCTGACGGCGCGATTGCTGCCAAATTGACAGCGATTGGCATGATAGCCATGGATGTTGCCATAGGAGTTGCGCATGCGCTGGCCACCGCCGCTGCTGCAAAGTTCGCCAATCATCGAGGGACGCTTCTCGCGCGACGATTTGCGCGAGGTGGAGTGCGAGGATTTGCTGCGATTGCTGCAGCCCTCTGTGTCCACTTTGAATTTAGATGTCTTCTCGGCCACCTGCGTAAGGGGAAATGTTTGATTAGACTGAGGCTTGGCCTTGCGCCTGCTCGTTGGGCCACTTACATCCACCTCGGTGGCCGTTTCAGAGTCGCCACTTTCGCTGCCCTCGGGCAGATCGTGCAGTTCGGCGGCCATGCCGCCTGGCTCATCCACAGATGTGCGCGATGCGGACTTCTGTGAGGGTATGCTGCGGCGCGACTTCACGCTGATGCCTGAACCGGATCGTGGCATTTGGGGTGAGCTGCTACCGCCTCCACCTCCGCCGCCAGCGGCACCAGAGCCAGCAGTTGGGCCTGTCGCTTGTTTGTCCATCAATAATTTATCAGCCGTGCTGTTGCCCGGCGTGCTGACCATGGCCGCGTTCGAGTCCATGTTGCCGCTGTTGCTATCGGATGTGGCCGAGGCGTTGCTGTCTGCCACGGATTTGCGCGTCTTTGTCTGCGCATCGTTGAGTCGCCTGGGTTCGTGTTGGTTGGTCACAGAATAAGGTTTAACTAGTTCTACTCCTAGGAAGATCTACCCCAGCCCCAGTCCCAACTCACCTGTAATACTCCAGTGCAATGCGCACGGGTATGATAATCAGCTCCGTTAGCTCCGGCACCAGTTCGCCGAGCGCCTCGAAGAGCGGCAATAGGACGAGCCCAATGAAGCGCACCTGGGAGCCGGGCTTGCTCACCTTATCGGGATCCATGAACGGTGTCACCGGCAGCCCTTCGGACTTTTCGGCGGCGCTCTGTGCAAAGAACTCTTGGAGCAAGCGATCCAACCAGGGTTCAGCCACGTCCATGGGCCGTGCCTCGTTCGAGATGTCCGCCACCTTGATGAGTATCATGCACAGCTGCAAAAGATTAGGAGTAATACGGATTCAAAACTTACGGGCCTGCTCTCGCGCTTACCAGATTGATGTGCGCACGATTGTTGTAGTCAAAGATGGGCGTTATCTCCATAAACTGCGTGAGGATCTCGTTGTGGCGCGCCATATCGGTGGCCAGGATACAGCGGATGATGCCCTCCCGTATGGTGCTGAAAATGAAAGCAAAATGTATATGTAATATGTAGATAACGTGGCAATAGAAATTGTTTCTCATCTACTGGCAAAGACTGCCTGGGTGGCGCCTCTACTGAATGCTCCCAAGAACAAAGAAGAACTGGCAATTTCGCATTATTCTATGCTAACAAGTATACTTTAATCGTATGGAATACGAATCAACTAGGAGATAACCGGACCAACAGCTCCGAGCTGCCCCGCACTCGAACCATCAAAATTTCCTGAGATCCTGCATACCAGATTTGGTGTCTCTGGTACTCATAAACTCATTAACGATATGCTCTAAACAACTTGTCTCAATATCAATATTTAATCTACTGGGGTTTTTATTTTAATTAAATGCAAACATAATTTCAGCGTAAGCTATAAAACTGCAAGATATCGATAAAATACATTGCCACTAAATCGATATTAATCGATATACAACAAAATTGCTGATGCTCACAATTTAGTTCTAACTTTAAATATTTGTATTTAAGTACAGAATTGATTTTAAAGTCGTTATTTGTCGATAGGTGATTGCTGAACATGTTCAAGGAATTGTAAAGCTGTATTTAAATACCAATTTGGCCTGAAAATCGATCACTTTAATAGACTCATTGAAGCACACTCGAACCGGTTCACAGGAATTAAACACAGAGCTCTGGCAAATTGCAGGGCTTACTGAAGGCAAACATCAGTTGTCTGCAGCAGAGGCCAGCAATGCTTTAAGCCTCCTCAACCCCACCATCAAGGGCGCATTCCAAGGGGATGGCGTCTGTTTTCGGGGCGCATTGCGTATACGCCATGTTTTGCATGTTGTTTACGGCTGTTGCTTCTTTTTAATACGCTTTTAGAGGGCATTACAGTTTCATCATGAATAGTGCAACGCATCGAATGAGTTATCTCTGAAACCATAAAAATATATACTCTAGAGCGAGACGCTCTCCGACTCTCTCTTGCATGCAGTACATATGTATGTCGGAGACAGCCAGATCGGACAACTACAGATGTTATAGGATTTATTGGTCAAAAAAGAGTATTTAATCTTCGTCTAGCCGATTTATTTGTTGCGTTTTTTTTTATGCTTTGTTGGCTTACGTGCGCTGCTTACAAGAAAAAAAAAAACGTAACTATATTTTGACATCCAAAGCGAAAATAAGAGAACGCGAGAACGTGCGATAGAGAGAGATATAGTTAAGAGTATAGTTGCAGACTAAGCAGATGGGGCGCGCAAATATTAAATTGCATTTCGTTTTATTTTTATTTCAAAGAAAATGAAAAATACGCAAAAGTCGCATCAGATACGAGCAGAAAATTGAATTTTGTCGTGTCAAGTGGCATTGACGCTGCACACAGATGCAGACGCAGCCCAAGCCAGCCAACAGATCTAACGCATGGTATGGCGGTGTTAAGGGGGGGTGACTGGAGTGTGGGGGGGGGGGGGGGGGGTTGCAAGTAAGGGTAGGGGGCGTGCCACTTTAGTTACTACATTGGAAATTCAGCACCTGCCACGCTGCCAACTGCAAATAGAGCGCGAAGCGAATTTTATGCACTCGACTTGACGCCGTCGTCAAGCTGCAGATATCACAATATCCAGCGTCCATGTCTTGTTGTCATTTTCTAGCGATTTTCTAGTGATTTTCCAGTAGTAATTATAGTGGCATTTAGGAAATGTTGTCACAACATCTCAGCCTCAATGCTGCTCGCAAGTGCAAAACAACGTAGTCTCTTCAATTTTATTATTTTCCATTGACATCTATGACATATTTCGATGTCGATTATACTCTTTATTACAAATGGATGGAGCTGAGCTAATTTTCTTTCATTTTTTAATAATTTATTTTGAACAGTGCCGTTACATTTATGGGTCTCTTGGATTATTGAGCGGTAGAATGATTTGGCATATTCGTGTGCAGCCATATTTTTGGTTCTCATCGGTGCAATTAGAAGCTAAACAGCTATTTCAATTCTCATGCTAAATTTATTTTGTTACGCTGCGCTTTCGCAATATGGATAACTAGGACAATGTATGAATAACTGGTTTTATATAAGTTAAAAGTGCATTAGATTTTCATTTATAAGTCGGTCAAGCAATCATTAGTCAGCCCTTAATCAATATTCAGTCAGTAAATCAGCCAGCAAACTGGCCAATCACATTGTAAGTCGGTCAAGCAATCATTAGTCAGCTATTAATCAATATTCAGTTAATAATTCAGTCAGTGAATCATCAGGCAGCTTGCAATCAGACAGGAAACTGATCAATTACTTTGTAAGTCAGTCAGTCAGTCAATCATCAGCCAGCTATCAATCAATATTCAGTCAGTCAATCATTGGTCAGTTATCAATCAGTATTCAGTCAGTACAAACAAACAAACAGGTCAGTCACTATGTAGGTCAGTCTTTCAATAATCAGTCAGCTATCAATAAATGTTCAATCAGTAACTCAGTTGGTCAGTCAATCATCAGTCAGTTATCAATCAATATTCAGTCAGTTACACACTCTGTCAATCAGCGAGCAATATGGTCAATTACTGTAAATCGATCACTCAATCATTGCTTAGTTATCAATCAGTATTTAGTCAGTAAATCAGCAGACTGATCAATCACTTTGACACAGTCAGCTATCAGTCAATCTTCAGTCAGTCAATCAAACAGCAAACTGGTCAATCACTTTGACATTCAGTTAGTGAATTGTGCGGTCGATTAGCCTGTTAATCTTTAATGTTAAAATTGTGAATCCATTAGACAGTCAGTCAACCATTTAAAAATTAGCCATGCAGCCGGCACATCTGTCAATCACTAGTCAATCAATATCATCAACCAGTTAATCAGTTATTTTCGTTGAGGAGAATAAAATAGCTTGTAATTGCTCAGTTCACATCACTCTTCCCACATACCTGCAGAACAGTTAGCAAGGGCATTGAATCTTCGGCATGCCAAAGATATGCTTACTTTCTCGTTTGATATCGTATATATATATATATAAAGATTGATTGATTTTCTCAAACACCATCAAGTTTTGTGCCTGGTATCGCTGGGGGCAATCAGCGCTTCGGCGTCTCTAATCCAATCGCCAGACTTTGGCATTGCGTAAATCTCAATGTCAGAGCTTATCAGCGGCGCGACAGCTGCTTATCAGCTGCCGCTCAGCTCAGCTGCTGCTCAGCTCAGCTCAGCTTCGTTCAGCTTAGGTTTGGGCAGTTAATTTGTAAATACGGGAGAGAAAGCCACGTTCCTTATGTGTGGCAAACAACTGAACCAGCGCACAATGCAGCTCCAGCTGCAGCTGCTGCTGCTGCTAGTCCTGGGCAGCCAGTGCATTTGGGGCCATGTTGTTAGCTGCGCGACTGAAGCAGCAGCGGATGCCATGGACGTGAGCAAATCGCCGTGCGAGAATTTCCATGAGCACGCCTGCGGCAACTGGCACGCCCCCTATGAGCTGCGTGCTCTAGGCGCACACGATATGCGGTCGAAGCTGCGCGCGCTGAACAAGCAGCTGCTTGTGCGGCACCTTGAGGCCAGCGGTGGAGATCAGGATCAGCTGCACACGTTTTATGACAGCTGTATGAGCGGCCGGCAGTCGCTGCACGTCTATATGGATGCAGTGCAGCAGCTCGTGCCGGATTGGCCGCTGCTCAACAATGCGACGCGCTTCGATTGGTCACGCGGCAGCGCTGCAGTGCGTCGCTTTGGCGCCCAGGGCTTGTGGCGTCTGCTGGTGCAGCCCAATTGGCAGGCGGCAGAGCAGCTCATCTTTTATCTGCTGCCGCCCAGTTTCAAGCTGTTGGGCAACAGCGAGCAGAGCGAGTTTCTCTACCAGCGCTATCTCAAGTATCTGCTGCTCGAGCTGAGACTGCGCGTCCGACGCGCTGCCACGCTGGCCGAGCAGCTGGTGAGCTTTGAGCGGCAGTTGCGCAAATTGACGCCGCCGCCGTTGGAGGAAGCCCAGACGCTGGTGCTGCACGAGCCGCAAACGTTGCAGCAGCTGGCGTCGCAGCTGCCGCAGCTCCAGCTGCTCGACTACTTCCGGCTGCTGCTAGGCGAACGCTATACGTCACAGTTGCTGCTGGTGGCGGACACGGGCTACTTGCAGCGCTTGCAAGGCGTGCTGCACGCCGCCGACCCGCTTGTTCTGTCCAGCTGGCTGCTGCTGCAGCTGCCGGCGCACTTTGAACTCCATCTGCACGAGGACACCACGTTGGCTGCTCAGCGTGAGCATTGCCTGCAGCAGTTGAACCAGTTGCTGCCGCGTCAGCTGTCGCAGCTGCAGCAGCGTCTGTTGCACGGCAGCGATGCGGCGGCGTCTGCCTTTCGCAGCCGTACGCAGCGCCAGCTGCAGCTGCTGTTCGACTCGCTGAAGGCTCAGTTCGAGGTTTTGCTTAATGCCACGCCAATTTTCGAACAGGACGCCGCCACACAAACTCTGGCGCTGCAAAAGCTACGCGCAATGCGGCTGCTGCTGCCGCCGCCGCCGTCGCCACAGCAGTTGGAGCAGCGAGACGAAGGGAAGGCGCAACGCGATCTTCAATCTACGAGCTTCAGCTACGATACGAATCTGTTGCATTTGTCGCAGGCGGAGTCGGATGCGCAGTTTCAGCTGGCGCTGGACTGCCTGCAATTGCCATGCGAGTCATCTGCTACATGGTCGGGCCACGCCCTCGGCCCACTGGATGTGAACGTGTACTATAGGCTGAAGCTAAATGCGATTGAGCTGCCGCTGGGTCTGCTGCGTCCGCCCCTTCTGCCTAGCAGTAGCAGAAGCAGCTGCGAGGCAAATGCTGCTCGAGAGAATTCGGGGGCGACGGCGCCGGATGCGGATGTGGATGCGGAATCGCAGGCCCGCCTGCTGGGCGGCTTGGGCTACATGCTCGGTCACGAACTAATCCATGGGTTCGACTATGATGGCATCAATTATGATGCAGCTGGACGTGTGGCCGGCGGCCAGTGGCCAGCGCGCGCCATCATTCGCTTCGGCCTGCGTGCCGGCTGCTATTTAGGGGCACGCTACAGCAATGCGACGTTGACCATCAATGAGAATATTGCGGACAGCGAGGGATTGCGCTTGGCCTACGAGGCGTATCGGCACCAGCAGCCGGCCAATGCCTCAATGCGTCCGTTCTTTGTGGCCTTTGCGCAAAACTGGTGTGGACAGGAGGTGGCGTCCTCTAGCGGTGCACAGCAGCATGCCTCGCATCGGGAGCGTGTCAACAATGTGCTGGGCAACTTCCCGGAATTTGCTGAGGCCTTTGAGTGCAAGGTGGGCAGCCTGATGCATCCGCCGGACAAGTGTCGCATTTGGTAACCAGCGGCGCAGCAGGGGCTGGGGCTGGGGCAGGAACAGGGTCGGGGACAGGGACAAAGCTGAGTGAACGTCAATGGGATGTTTTTCAAATCTGAGTAAAGCAATGAAATTGAAATTGAAATGAAAACTCTTGAGTGTACTCGATTGGTGCGGCATCTCATTACAGCGCAGTCACGACTTGTTTTGCCATAAAATGCGGTAAACACACACACACACACATACACGCACATAAACACGGATTACAGCAATGTATGTGGAGCATCCATTACCTGGCTTTTACTTCAAAAACTATGGCAACAGGCGGAGAAAAATCCTTCGGTAGGCACATAGTGCAGTTTTCAAAAGAGTCGAAATATATAATTGGCATTTTTCAGTCCTTAGCAACACTGGAATATGCATGCATAAATCTTGAATCTCAAATAAAGAGGCACACTAGAAAAGTTCATGGAACTGACAAAGGGAAATGGCATTTCACACTCTTTCTTAATACTGATAAACGTAGTTCATAGGTACTCCTTAAAATTCAAGGACTCAGACTCAAGTAATCGTTTACCTAATGATGGTTTATGTGACAGCTATATAAAAAAGTCGTGAGATTCGTCCGACTGCGAAAAAGTAAATCAAAATCAAAGGTTAAACCAAACACTTTTCGAAAGGACCGGGTGGATTTCATAGAAACATGGCTACATATAATCAGATGGATCGAACCAGTATAATATACAGTATAAGTAGCTACCTTAGGAGTTATTGTATGCAAGGCTATTCCCTTATTGAATAAATGTTAATTACGCGCTTCCTTACATTTCCCACATATCTGCAGAGCCTGCAGGCATGTGATTAGAGTATTTAATGCTTGGCGTGCCAATGATAATCGCTCACTCCTTGTTTCACCCGTTCTTAAGGCTTATGTCCTATAAACTGAGAAGTCTTGATGAGCGCAACAGCTTTCTCAGCCGCAAGTCATTTGGTGTTGGAAAACCCGCAATTGTGTCATTGTTTACAAATGACATTTAAGTGCATTTGAATGACGCACAACTCTGAAGACTGAGAAAAGCAACACGATTCGTCAAGCGTTTCTCAACTGCTGATAACTTATGGCAACATGGTAATAAGAGCAATAACACCACAAGCACACAGACAGAGAGAGAAAGAGAGAGAGAAGAGGGAGAGAATGAGAAGTATATAACAGTATCCACATATATGACGTTGACACAAGCAGGCAAAGAGTATCGTGTGGTATCGTGTGGCATCGTGTGGTAACTTCTTGGCACTCTTGGCACTCTTGGCGGGGGCTGCTTCATGGCATTTACAAGCATATTGTGCATGTGCATTTCTGGCAAGTTTTGCTATCAAAAACTCCCAAAAGCATGCAGCAGTTTATGCACGCAAACTTGGCAGCAAAACATTGTGAAGGCGCCCAACGTGCGACTCTCCTGATGGCGCCCAACGTGCCAAAGTCGGAGTTGATGAGGGACCACGCAGTGCGGTGTTTGTCTTCGGGGCATTCCAGCTACTTCGAGCTTTTCTACCCGTTCTTGTTTATAATGATGATGATGATGATGATGATGATGATGATGATGATGATGATGATGATGATGATGATGATGATGGTGATGATGATGATGGGGAGGATAATGGGCACGGGCATGATGTTGCCTTACCTATTTTAGCTTTCACAACGCCGCTGCCTACGTGAGCGCGCAATTCAAAGTCAAAAACATTTTCCCCCAGCTAATCCACTTAATTAATGTTTGCGGAATTTTGCAATATAAATGCGTTGCAATGAGTACAGAAACTACGCTTTATATATATCCACCGCAAGAATAACACAAATTAATCACAAGCAAAGCAAGTGGGACTGCTTTTTAGTGGGACTGCCGGACTAAAAGATACTCCGCAGCCAGCGTCGAGCTAACGTTACAAGTACGTCATCTTTCCTCTTTGCATCAACAAGCTCCGATATCCTTTCAATTTGTAGGATCTAGGTAGTGGACCAAAGGAGCAATAGTATATCATTAATGATATTGGAATCAATTTTGCGGTAAGCTGTGTCTTTGTCTATGTCAAGCAGTTGCATATGCAATTTGGAGTGCCTAGCTCCTTATCCTTTGAGCTAAGCCTAAGAAACTTGACTAACAAAGTCGATTTTTATCGATATTATTGAAATCGATATTATTCATTTTTAAGCCCCTTGTTTTTCTAGTTTCAGGGATCGTATATGCAAACAAAGGAACATGACTTAATCGAAACAACGCGTAGACCTTACTCAGAATTTCCATAATTCATTTAGGAAAAGCCTACTGCTGCATGTTATCTACATGTGCAATGCTTTGTATGAATAAAAGGTAAAGAAATATAAACCAACCCTCAGTTTGAAGGCGTGTAAGGTGAATGAAAGGAATCCAACTTCAAAAAAATGCCTCGGTAAAGTTGTAGTTTCACTTCATGGAACAAAACCATTGCGTACTGAGTTGATGTATTGGAAATTTGGATGAACTTTCCCAGAATGCAAACTCAGTACGTTTGCGAAAATATTTCAAGGGAATTTGCTGGGGATTTGTATTTCCTTGAATTTTCTGTCAACCATTGAATGCAATTTGCATTTCGAATGCGACAGGGAACTTATATGGGATTAATATTCAGTTCGACTTTATGTTATGTGGCAGACCGAGAATTAAGCTCTTATGCATAAAGTAATTACAAGTTATCGATAAGGCAACATCGCGTGGGACTAAATTGTGAGATATATTTTTTGCGTGGGAGATGTGTGATTGAAACCTTAAGTCAAAACGAAATATTTCTAGGAAATTATATTTCAATGAATTTTGTGTTCAATGCAATTCAAAATTTCAAAAGCAACACAGACTAGCGAGCAATAAGTAATATGATTTACAAAGGGTTTGAATAATTAATTGCAGAGAGAGAGAGAGAGAGAGAGAAAGAGAATCCTAGTCGCAAGGCATGAATCGGAGGCTATGGCCAAAGGGCACATCTCGGTGGAAAAGCTTAACTGTATCGATTGCAGTAATACTCAAAGAATATCTGTGGCATTTGATTGAAGAAATGTAATTTAATAATTATCAAATTTTTAAACAATACATCAAAATCATTAATAATCACAGCATTTTGCAGCTAGACTCAAGGTTTTAAATTTATCTGCCAATTGCCAACAATATACCACAAAGTAGGGGCACTCTAGCTCTGGTCGTGAAACTAGGCGCCAATCTGGCATTGTAAATAATTAAGCTCTGTCCTTTATCCATTAATACACAGAGAGGCACATAACCAAACACACACACACACACGCAGCGCTAACTGCGTTTTTTTACTACATCCGTCAGTCTCATTCATGAATAACATCGGTGCTTATAGTCCGATCAAAAAGGCGTGTTTCAATCTATTTTAGGAAGATTATTTTTTCTCCTCTGTTTATACAATACGAGAATTGGTAGTTCCGTGCTCTTATAAGTCTTGAGATATGTTCCAAACACCTAATCTCAAAATCGATACTTATCGAAATAGGGCGAGGTATCGATCAATTGAAATAATCGACAGCAGAAGCTGTGCACCAAATTGCAAGTCTTTAGCCCTAATAGTCTCTGAGTTTGAGAAAACAGACAGACAGACGAATTTAGTTAGATTGGGTCGGTTATTGATGCTATTTGATATTTTATATATCTATATATCGAATATATCTACCGCCAGCCGTTGCCTGTTACATGCAAGCATTTGAACAAAATAACAATGCCAAGTTTTTGTCATATTGAATAGTTTCAGGTTATGAAAGAGCTTCATATTATTTGCTTGAATTTTCTTCCATTTTCAAACCATCGTCGCAATATATTTTTGTATCAAATGACATTTCTTGCCATGCGCTCAGCAATTGACAATCGAAAAATGTTTCAATATATTGTTTGTAAAAGCAGTTTGACTTCAATTTGTGGGCATTAGGGTTTTGTTTGTTGTTTGTGTTTTGATTCCCACTCGACTTGGGTCGTTACGAGCGAAAGAATAACCAAAGAAGTGTCCTGCGTACAGTTCTACAGTGCAATAAGCAAGGACAACCGGCGCGAGTTGCCTGCACCAAATCGATACGCTCGCGGACCAGGCGGCAGAGTTGCCCCACGCGGTTGCAGCTGTTGCCTCGTGTTGGGTGTTAATTAGTGCCCCAGCAAACGGGGCCGACGTTTAATGCAACATCATTTTGTACGTGCCGCGCATAAAATAGAGTCAAGCAAAGTTGGCAATTAAATGGCTAGCAGCCCGAACCGACCCAACCCGGCCCCAGCCCTCACACTCCCGCCCGCTTCCGTCCGCATGGTCTGACCCAAATAGCGGGGCTTAAAGTGCTACCAATTTGCAGGTGTTACTCACTTGAATGTGTCCCGGCTAAAGTTCTTGAATATATTGCACTCGGGATGCTCCAGCAGGCGGAATGCAATCGAGCAATGATGATTCTCCAACGGCGAGATGTCATTATATCTGTAAAAACAAAACGAATCAAATATATAAATAAATATATTCATAACAGATTCAGGGCAAGGTCTTACCTGAGCGCCAGTTCGGTGCGTGCATTGATCTGATAGATGTTGTTATACCCAGGATGATCGAGGTCATGGCAAATGCAGGACACGAGCAATATGAGGCATTCCAGATCGCCCAGACGGTTCAGTAAATTCGCTTGACGTGTAATCGCGTACATCTGCATTAAATAAAGAAAATACATACATTTATAAACTAATGATAAGGCTATAAACTTATATTAATATTCACAATATTTAATTATTATCAAGTTTTACGCGACCTTGCTCGGGTAATGTAACATAGAGATTTGGTATTGTTTTTAAGATAATATCTTGAACTCCAAGTTTAAGTTATACTTCACAAAGATATTTGAAAATGTGTTTTAAAGTCCATTGAATAAAAAGCCAAACGTTGAAATCAACAGTTTCTCCCCATTTTGGGAGAATCTTGAAGCCTTTGTTTGAAAATATATGGCTGCGTCACGTATTCGTTAGCTTCTTATGTAGGGCCTTTTAAATAAGTTCAACAAAACCTAAAACTTTGCCCAAAAAATCTTCGACCCGCAAATTCCCCCGAGAAGTCGAAAATTGTGCAACACGTCTCAAATGAATTTGAAATCACGTATGGGCTTACGTCCTAAGCTTTGCCTAATCGAACGTTGCCTCGCATTTTTCATCCAATAGCGATGGACTTTGCGAAAAACGTATCATAGCAAAGAAATTGCATGCAAGAGTTTTCCTCTACATTTTCACAGTTGCCGATAGAGTTTCCTAAATCGCTGAACACGCACTTAATAACTTCTTTAATCGAATATTTAAGACCGATTAGACGAATCTTAGAGCTTTCCTCAAAATTGACGCCTAGATTTTCCGTAAAGTGTAAAATGAATTTTATTATGGCTCTTTGTGGATGAGCTTACCCCCGAAGCATTGTCCATTCCATCTTTGACAAACATTTGTCGTCCAAGAAAAAAGAAAAAAACGTTTAACAAACCTTTTTCCACCAGCTAGGGTAAGGGCTAGGGCTTTGATTTTGGGTTTAAAGCAAATTGGACAAGCTGAAAATTTAACTAAACAAATTGTGATCCACCAAGGAAGCTTGGATTTCACACGTCTCGAAGCTACCAAATCCTTGACTCCCATTTACACCATGGAGGGTTTAATTCAATTTTCACGATTTTTCCACACTTGCGGGTGGAATTTCCCAAAACAACATCTTAACAAAATGTCAGCTTCCTAGCTCTAACTGTTTTGGGATGCAATTAGTCAGAACAAACACATTTATATATCGAGATATATATATATATACCACGGGCATTTTCTATGAGCTTGCAAGGGATATGTTATAGTCCTGCTCATGTCATTATTGTTTTTCGTCGCATTTTCTTGTCTGCCTGCTGTTGCTTTCAACTGCAATTCCATGGCTAAATGCTTACACGTAGGTGCCCTTTGGCCAATCGCCAAACATGTCGCACTATTAACTATGGTATTCTCTTTTCCCAAGCTCTCTATCTCTTCTTCTCTCGTCCAAACTCTCTCGCTCTCCCTTAGATTGTCTCTCAATTTGGCTAATTAAATGAAGTGTCTGAGCTGTTTGTTGCTGCCTGTTGCTGCCTGTTGCTGCTGTTGGGTGCTTTTCAGAATATATCTTAAATAATGGCTGAGATAGAGAGAGACAGAGAGAGAGAGAGAGAGAGAGAGAGAGAGAGAGAGAGAGAGAGCACTTTTAATGTTGGAAACCATTAAGCCAAATCGCATTTGATGCTTCAACGTGGCCAACAGCAGCAGCAGCAGCTAGCAAAAAGTATCTGGCGGATGCTGGGCATAGGGCTGCTGGTTTAAGCCAATGGCGAAGGTAAAGGTAAAGGTTAAGTTGAAGGCAACTTAATTTGTCTGCAGCAAACGGCTGCGAAACCTTTGCAATTACTAGCAGCCACTAAAGAAGGCCCCGCATCCAGCCCACCCCCTGCCGCACCAGCCTGCCCAGCAAATGAAAATGACTTTTCCAAGTGGGGCGCGACAGAGGAGCATAGAGATAGAGAGATAGGGAAAGTGAGTGGGTAGTGGGTAGTGGAGGAGAGACCCTTAAGGAATTTCAACAGCGTTCAATTTAAGCTTTTTGAAATACAAAAGCAGCGTTAAGTTTGCTTTGCGCTTTGCTGCGCACCAAAGTTGCACTGCGGGGCAATTGGGAAGTGGGCGTGGTCGGGTTTGGAGTTTGGTGTTGACGGGCGTTCCAGGGTATTCGCGGGTGTTGGAGACAGGGGCTGGAGGGCTCGTTAAAGTTGCTGCATAAGTTTGGTCGTCATCGTTGTCGCCGCTGCGTTTACTCTGGCATTAAGCGGCGTTGTGTAAATGCATAAGCTTTTGGGGTTGGCGCGATCCAAAGCGGGCCAGACGGGCAAGGCTAAGATGGATGGGCAACGCGGGGGCGGCGGGTCGTTTAAGAGGGTAGGAGTGCAGGGTTGGTTAGTGCTATAAATTTATGCAAATGCGAATGCTGTTTGCATTTCGAATTTCGCAAGTTTATCTAAATTCATTGTCAACAAACAGACGAAGCAACGACAATGTGCATAGCGCCAACTCGCAGCTTGCAGTTCGCAGCTCGCAGCTCGCAACTCGCAGCTCCCAACAAAACCCCATCATCGCCTACAGCCCCACAATGCCCGGCAACCATTCACAACACTGGCAAAAGTTTTGCAGCGTCAACACCCCGAGGAAATCAACTTCAGCTTGCAACTGGCAACTGGCAACTGGTAAACTGGCAAACTGGCAAACTGCACTTTGTTAATGAAAAGCTGAGATGGTGTGTCGCTCATTTGGTAACAAAAAATATAAACTGAAATAGGGCTCACACATTTTCTTTTATCAACGTGGCTGTGTGGTTGTGTGGGCGCGCCTACAGGACCGCTGTCAGCTGAATAGTGCAGCCAGACATTTATTGGTTTTACCCTGTAATTTTAAAATGCCTTAAAAGAGGGTATCTACAGGTTCCGCATGGTTTCTTCAAATCTGCCGCTTTCCATGCTTTCCGTTTGCCACAGCTTTGAGAAGCAGTTTGAGCAGCCGAACATAAATTTCTTCTACTTGGAGCAATTTTTTTCGATTTTGTTTTGAATAAATATTCACCCATTTTCCGCGCTTGTGTGAGTGTTCAATTTTCGCTGACAGCTTGCTATGATAACCAAACATAATGTCAGTCGGAACGTTCAGATTTTTATATGGACACAGCTGAAGGTATAAATGGGTACATATAAATGGGTAGATATATATATATATATATATGAATGTATTTATACCCTGAATACATTGAGGTAGAAGAGAAACGTCTTGGATATAAGTGTATGCATTTATAGGCAGCAGGAAGCAGGCTAGAATGTTTGTAAAAGTAGCTTGGCGCAGGGCTTAGGGTATCTCCGAGTCTGTCCACTCTTACATATCTATGGTATCTTGAAAAAAAATACTCCGATTCTCAAAGATTTTTAATACATGTCTAGAAAAACAGCTTAATTTGAATCAGAAATGAAATATGCGTTTAACGACTGACTACAGGGTATTTTTCGGTTGTGCCTTTTGATTTGTTTTTGTTTTTGTTTTTTTATTTAGTTTTTTTTTGCATTATTGCATTGTTTTTGTCGATGGCAGGAAGGCAAAGGCGAAAGCCGCTTAACGGCTGTAGTGTCCTGTCACACACACACACACACACACAGCCACAGAGAGAGAGGAAATTACATGGGCTATACATACATGAGTGCCTATGCAAATGGCAAATGGCCGCCCATTGAATTGTAAAATACGCACCATCGCATATGCAGACGAGTCTAGCGGCCATTTTGCAGCTTAGAGTGCCCAAACTGACATCTGCTGCGAGGGCAGTTCAAACAGTTTCCGCTTAAGTCAGAGCCCTTCAATGGGCCAATGCTTGGATGGAGTTAATGTTTCCCACTCATCATCATAAATTTCACTGATTAATTTTGGTATGAGTGGAGCTAAAGACTACAACTTAATAAATATAGTATCGTCTTTTTGTATAGCCACGAAAAATGGGTGGATAAGACTATTAAGATTTGGTGCAAATGCATGTTACAGGCAGAAGGAAGCATCTCCCGGAGTGCAAATATTTCACGTTTTTGTATAGTTGCCACAATTTATCCCAAAATAAGTACGCGCTTGGGTATATACACATTTCCCTATGCCCTATTCAAGTCGTGAGAAATGCTTGAATATCGGACTATAAACATCGAAGCTAATCAAGTTCCTATGCATAGTGTGAGGAAAAAGTAGCACTTGGAGTTTCCTTTCCCCAATTTATCGCAGAGATTTGTGCGTTTTTTAAAGTTATTTCGATTCTGATATAATAACATTTTAGGGTGGTTATCTTACAGTCTTGTGGTCTAAATTATCGATTGGTTCTGCCTATCGATAGCATCGGATGTTAAATGGATTCTATTGTTGTTACAGCTGGGCGCAGTGTGGCAGCGTCTGATTGCATTTGTTGTTGCTGCTGTTGCAGTTGAATAAGAAACGGCAGCGACAATGACAGCAGAAACAACAACCCGCGAGAACAACAACGAGACGGGAATCGCTGTAGTTGTAGTTGCACGCATTGTGTTGCTTTATAAAGAGCTCAAGCCCACAAATGTGAATAGATTCGAGTGTGTTTTAGTTGTATTTACTTTAAACCATTTGCCATAAGCCAGAAACTGCAAACTGCTTTCAGCTTGTCTCTCCCTTGTGCTCTCAGAAAACAAACCACTTTGCGGGCGGCCCTTGCGGCATGCCACATATGAAACAATTGCAGTTGCCGCTCGTGCACCATTCATGCTTTCATCTCCGTTTCTCTTTCAGCTCTTCCCTTTACCGTTGTTCATTTTATAAATTTTCACTTTTTATTTGGTTGCACAGTGCCACGCCCATCGGCGCCAACTTGGCTTTTGTTGTCAAGTTGAAATAATTTTTTAAAGTTTCGTTTCCTCTCCACAAAGTCAAAAGCCATATGGCATAGCTACAGTGAAGCCGGCTTAATAGTGAACAAAATGTAAGTGCTTAAAGCTTAAGCTTAACTTCTTCCATTAGTTTTTTTTTTGTTTGAAAGTCACCATGCGTTATGTTTTCCAACAACGGATTATTCTAGAGCATTGCATTGACTGGGCGTTAGGCAACACTTTTACCAAGAATTGCTATATCGGCATAGTATTGTCGATTTTTTTATGATGTGGATGTCCATTGTTGTTAAGACTTTGCACATATATAAGTAGCATATTTTGGTCGAAACACTTGAGAAAGAGAAAAGCCTTTCATACCAGCTAATGACTTGTTAGGCACTGAACAAAAAAATTTCCTAAATGAATTTCACTATTTGCACAAATTAGGCGCCTAACAACACTGTTTTCATTAGCAGTTATGTTGAATATTAAGGCAGCAATTAAATCGCTTATCAACACTTCTGTCGGCATCAGTACTCATTAAACGTGTCTCAAAACGGTTGAGGCGTTATTATATATTCATAGGAGTAGGAATAGGTTTAATTGAGCCAAAATATTATAATATTTCGTTTACAGCACCTTTCCACATGCATTATTTTTTGTTGTTCTTTTCGCTCTTGACTCAAGCTACTTTTTATTTCGACTGTCTTCTGCTAACGATATTTATCGATAAACTTTAGTAGCTGCCCATCTGCAATGCTCCTTAGTGTTGAAGTCTTGTGCGAGCTGAGTTCTTAATTTATTTTTCGGAGCACTGTGGCCTACAACTTAAGATGCCAACTAACAGCGCATTAATATTTCATCTTAATGTTGAGCAGACGAACCGCTGCCCAAAACAACAACTACAACAACAACAATAACAACAACAACAGCAACAACAACAGCAACATAAAATATGTGTACTATATAAAGACTGCATAAAAAAGCAAGTTTCATTTGCCAAAAATGTAGGTTAAAAACTCGGTTCGCAAAATGCTTCGTTGGCACTTGAGAATCTAAGTGGGTCGCTGTCGGTGGGTTGGAAGGTTGTTGTTTTTTTCTCTCTTTTTTTTTCTTTTCTTTTTTTTGGAGGTTTTGGATTTTGGGTGGGTTTTTATGTTGGTTTGTTCGTTTGTTGTGCGCCTGGACAGCAGCTGGCCGCTTGTTGGGCACAATTTGCATTCGCCAGCCGCTGATTTTCCTTTTGTATACCCTTGCGCAGGATATTTTAAGATGGTTGTGATATTAGCTACGTGTCTTAATAGCCATAAGCTATGCAATTACACAATACATGCACAGTTGTTGTTATCTAAGAAACCATTGTGTTTTACAAATAGGCTAATCAATTTTATGTACGTTCTATTAAATACACTCAATACCTTTAAGCTTTGCCCTAGCACCTAAAGTTTGCTCAAAAACAAATTTGATATATGCAAAGTATCAGGTAACGTAATCGTAATCTGGCTTAAAAAGTTGCCTAAAGATAGTTTAATGAAATTTCGTTAAGTTATTATGTTAATAAGCTTTCATTCCAGTTATCGGACGAATACTTTGTGATATCTTGAGCAAACTCATCAGGTTAATGTATTTAAATATATATATTTTTTGCTTTGTTAATGTGAAGTTTGGTTTGACTTGCTTTGTTGTTTTGTTGTTGGCTGGTGGTTAAAATTCTCAACAAATTAAAACCTCGAAAGAGGTCACATGCCTCAACTCAATAGAAAGATAAGCTGATGATGGAATCGGGCGAATTGAATGAAAAACGGATGACTATATCTTTTATGTATATGTAAAGGCACTTCCGTCCACTATGTTTATTGAAAAGTGACTATTAAAGCAGGAACATGCGTATTAAAGACTTTTTGATAACAGAAATAAAACTGGGGATTACGACTTTGAGTTTGCCTAAGTCACTTAAGCACACAGGAAGGGTATTCAAATGTCAGCTAGCCATAGTAAGCTTTTTGTTTCCTGTTTAAATTTTTGTCGTTTTTTTTTTTTTTTTTGTTTCTATTTCCTTGCTCTTGGTCCAAATGCCTGACGAGTTTGTTTTCTACTTCTGTTTTTTTCGGTGAGTGGCCAGTCAGTTTGTCCAACTGTCAGTGCCAATGTCTGTCTGCCAGTTGTTGTTGTTGCTGTTGCTGTTGCTGTTGCTGTTGTTGCTGTTGTTGTTGTTGCTGTTGTTGCTGTTGCAGTTGTTGCTCGTGTTCTTGTTGCTATTTTATTTTAGTGAACATTGAGCGACATTTTGCGCGTCCATTTCTTTGCCTCTTCAGTTGTTGCTATTTTTATTTGTTGTGTATGGCCATAAATAGGCCTTTTCTTACACTCACACATACACACACCTAGACCTACATGTGTGCCTCTTGCTGCTTTGTCTGTCTTGAGCGCCCTTTGGCGTTTCTGTTGCATACAACGCGGCGTCTATTGTTCAGCTGCAGACAAACACACACACACACACACACACACACACACACACACACACCAATACACGCACACACATAAGGAGAGAGATAGAGTGAGAGACTGAATATATTGATTGCATGCAGCCTGGCCATCTTTTATTCTTTAAGGCTATATGAATGTACATGCATACATAAATATATATAAGTACATACACATATATCTATAAATTGTCCATGTTTGAATTTACCCTAGCTACGCCGCAGCGCAAGCATCTCTTGAACAATTTCAATTGAATTCAATTCCTGAAAGGCCCAGCTGTAGTCCTGAAAGGACACCCAAAGGACACTACAGCTTGTTGCAGGTCTGCATTCATAAAGAGTTTGGCTCAATTCCACAATTTAAGCTCAAATAAATTAACAATCAAATTAAGTACCTGTTTGAGAATGAATCAAACATGTGTGACAGACAGAAAGAAGGCTTTTAGCAGCCTTCGAAAATCTGTCTCAAGCTTCTCATATTAGTCTACATATTAAACAAGGATAGTTATTTAAATATTTGAATTACTCAAAACTATCGAATTTATGGGTATTTACGCTTCAAGATTCAAATAACTTGCTTGTTCTGAATATGCTTTTGATATTAAGAAATAGATTCACTTGATTTGGTTAGATAATTGTCTGAGCGATTCTTGGCTTGAGTTCAAATGCTTTCTAATACATGTCAGAGACGAGTGTGCAAATGACATATGCATGGATAGCAGAAATCAGAATTGGCTCAAAACAAAATTTACCAACACTTGCGGAATTGTCAGGGTTGCTAGCTAGGCAAAAAATGCATATCGTTGAAATAATTGGAAAGTTGTTGTATAGAAATAGCTGCTATGCTATTTCTCTATGATTGCACTCGATTCAATAATATTTCATAATTGCTATCGATAGAGTTGACAGTTTTCACTTACCATTTGGGCGACACAGAAACAATGCCGGAAATTATGAAATGGCACCTCATTGTAGTGCTTGTAGACCTCATAGAGCCATTCGCGCAGCGTATCGACGGGTATGCTAAACTTCTCAACGAAGCCAAGCTCGAGGAACATGGTCTGCATTAGGTGTATGACATCTGCATCGCCCCATTCATACGAATCGAAGGCCGGCAGACGCAGGGCCGCCTTCACCTCATCCGAAAAGTTAGTATCACAAATTTCCAGGAAGCGACGCTTCACTTCCTGATGCTTTGGTAGACTGCTCTTGCGATGTGGCGGGCCCAATGGCCGATTGGAGAGACCTGCGGATGAGAAAATGTTCCAAGCTCAAATTAGATAAGTATAGCATACAGCTAAATTTCGTTGCAGATACAGATACGGTTAACACGACAAAAAAAAAATATATTCGAGAGGCGGAAATCAGTCAAGTGGGTGTATTTGCTGCTGTTTTTGTTGCAGTTGTTGTTGTTGTTGTTGTTGCCGGCAGAGGCAATAAATAAATCAGCAAATTGAAACAGGAAATACAGCTGGGAAGTCGGACTGGTGGTAGTCATGGCAATTTGGATTATTGCAAATGAAGAGCCATAAACAAGACGCAGCGACAGACTAACTGAACTACAACAGAAAGAGAGAGAGAGAGAGAGCGAGCGAGCGAGAGAGCGAGAGGGAGACACCAGCTAGTGAGCTGAAGCCAAAATGAAACCAAATCGAAGTCCAGTGAAAAGTGAAAATGAAACGGAACAGCAAACGCTAAAACGGCGGAAGTACACTGGCCGTACCAGTGGGGGCGGTAGGCGGGGCAGCCGGCCAGCTACAGTTTTGTAGTTTGTCTCTGTGTCTCTCGTTTTTTGTGCCATGGGCGGGAAATTAAATTTTCAATCGGCAACACGCTTCACTGACCAGATGAAACAACAACAAAAACAAAACAACAACAGCAGAAGCTCCTTCCGTGTGAGTGTGTGTGTTTGTGTGTGTGTGTGTGTGTCGGTGTGTGTATGGCACAGGTGCATTTCAGGTACGACAACTGAGCTGAGCTGTTGATCTGTGGCCAACGGCCTCGAAAAACCAGACTGAGTTCCCCAAATGGCCAGCCATGCGTCGCCCATCGCATATCGTTGACAACTGTCAAAAATGGACGTCGGAGCCGCAACACACGTTGCAACACTGGAGGCGCCACCCTGCAACGGTTGCGGTTGGCAACACTATGCAGCTATGCAACACTGGCTCGCATTGTTAGTTAATTCACAGTAGGCTTTATTTTTTGTGCACATTCGTCGGAATTCACCGTTCTTCGATTCGTTACGTTTTCTTGGTCTTTAACAAATTCACTTTAAATTTAAGGAAAATTGTATTTTAAGCGTAGGCTTAGTAGTTTAAGTAACTGCAAGTCTCTCAATTTTCTATATATTCTTCAGATATTCATTTGAAATATTCCTGTGCTATACTCTATATATTTTGTCTATGGTTGGTTATTCAATTTTAATTTTAATTTTATAGCATATATGCGTTCACTTTACGTGCAGCTAGGCCGTTAATTGGCTTGATAGCTGTTTGTTTTGCATATCAACAGGTAATTAGTGGCAACGCCCTCCGTTTTGATTAGCCCCATTTATAGGAGAGCAATTGCTTTCTGTTCACTCTATGTTCACTTAATTGCTATTAATATTGATTTCACATGTGTGACTTCTTAATTTCCTTCTGCGTTTGCTTGCTTTGCAGCTTTTCAGTTTGTCAGTTGCACTTGGCGCTTGATTTATTATGCATCGTCCTCCACGTTAACTTAGTTTTGGCAGTTGAGCAAAAGCAGTTTTTGAAATTTCTCACAGATGTGTGTGCGAATGTGTGTGTGTGTGTAATTTATTAACCTCCAGTGTCACTTGCACAGTTTGACAAGCACATCTTGGATATGGATGGTTCTATTGTTAATTTACTGCGTGACATTTTTTGGCCCGAGGCAACTCGATCAAAATAGTTGCGAGGCTTGTGTAAATTGCAAAATTCCCTGCTCACACCCACGTTCCGTTCGCCTTTCACTTTGCCTTTGCCTTTGCCTTTGCCTTTGCATTTGTTGCCCACCGCAGCCACTTGTTAACCTGCCACGCCCCATCCACTACAGTATGGGCAAATAGGCGCACATATAATCAAGAATGGAAATTTGATTAAAATTGCTGCTTTTGATGCACAAAGAAATTAAAATGCTGACAGCCAGCAAAAGCAGAAAGAGTCAAATCAGTGTGTGTGTGTGTGTGCGTGTTTGTGTGTGCGTGAGTGTGCGTGCGTAAGTGTGTGTGCTACCCACCAGTGGAATTTACCTGGGCTAGCCACGCCTTGTGGTCGACGCACACATGTGAAGCTGCTGCAAGCCAAACACTTTGCGGGCTGCGTTTATAATTAATTTACTGCCACTTACAATTTTTAATTAAGCACAGTTCTCAGCGCATTTCTATTTGGCGCGCAACCGCGCACCTCTCAGCCAGTCACATGCCCCCGTCCCCACACACACAGCCCCCTGTCCCTTTTTCTAGGTTACTTTGTGGAGTTGTGCCAACAATGTTGGGGCCATTTGGCAGTTGTGTTGCCGCTGTGAATTTCAAATATTCGCACAAATCAAGTGGGGGGAGTTGGGAGTTCGAACCCTTCCACCCGCAAAAGTGTTGTAAAATCTCAATGGAACAATCCAAAAAAAAAAAATATGGCCAAATACAAATTATACTCTTAAATGAGAATAGTAACAAAAAATCTAATAATAATATTCAAGGCTGCTTATCCAAAAAGAGTTTTCAGTGGTGCAAGCAATGGGTTTTACATATTTATAAACCCAGTTTTTTTTTGTGTCATATTTTGTAAATTTCAACAGATAACAAATTTTACTAATTATGATACTGTTCAGATATAGCTTCACTCTTCTTTATCCAACAAATCTTGTTTATGCACCCTCCATACCTTTCGGGCTCAAACCAACAAGACTTCTAAACTAGTGGGCGGCCTGGTTACAATGAAATTTATTCATACATACATATATATCAGCTATATAGCAGCTATTACAATTCAGCTATCTAAGCTAAGTTTTAATGACATATATACTATATGTACTTGATAACAACGAGATGATCTAAGAAAACGTACTGCAGACAATATAAACTATCCATATTACCATGGGCATTGCCAGACAAGCTTATGATATACCAATTTGATCCACCCGAATCATACATTTTTTTTCTTAATATACCTTAAAGAATCATATTGAAAGCAACTGAACTCAAAACTACGAGGACTCTGATTAACATTATCATACTATATTATATATTTATATACATATATTGTTCAGTATGTAAAAATTTCGTGAGATAAGCACAATACTCCATTACGTTTTTGCTGACCTGTGACAAGGCCTTGTAGCAAGGTGAGTATGCAATATTAGGGATTGCAGGGTGTTAAAAATGTGCATTACACTTGAATACAAGACAGAAAAAAACCGATTTCACAATTATTATGCGTGCCAACAGGCACAGGACACACGCATGTCGAACAAGTGAATGCCAGCGAATGCATTCATGAATTTTACGAATACTTTATGCAGCGGCACAGCGATTCAGTGGCTACGTTTGCTGTGCATATGTTTTTTTTTCTCCCTTCCTGTCGCTCTTGCAACGCAGGTGAACTTGGGTCCACTCGCCCGTTTTTGCTTTTGGTTCTTTTCTGTTTTTTTGGTTGTGCGAAACGCTCAGCCCCTTTTCGCACCTTTTGCTCACCCTTTTTCCTACCTTTTTCTCACTTGGCTCGTCTCAATGTTAAATTGAATTAAACTTTTCTTTTCTTCCCTTATTTTTGTTCGTTTGCGCGAACTTTTCCCCAACTCCATCCGCTGGCCGCACTTGCCGTGTGACAATTTGATCGATGAGTTTCGAATGCCCTCAACAGAACTTTACAGCCCCCCCCTCCCCTCCCCCACCAAATAATTTGCTCGGTTGAAAGTTCTACGGCATTCCTCTTGCCGCAGCTGCAAAATATTAACTGTCAATTATGTTTCGTTAGGGTTGGCTCTGTGAGTGTGTGCGTGTGTGTGGTCTTGGGGCTTCACATTTACATATTGCATTCACATGTGTTGCATGCATTGATGCATCATTTGTGTTTGCAGCATGCGGTATGTGGCATGAAAAATTCCAATTGCCACCCAAAATGACAGCTGTCATATTGACAGCAACAGGCACTTCCGCGGAATGGGTTGTGCGTGGGTGTGCGTGTGTGTGCGTGTGGAAAGGGGGAAGGTGTTGCTTAGAGGTCCTTTTACACCAAAATGTCTCAATTATTTGGACTCCTTCGCGTTAATAAGGCGCAACTCGAGACACAAACGATTATAAGCAATCAAGTTAATTGAGGCAAAACGGCGATTGGCCACAGCAACAAGATATGCCACATGAGAGACGCTTTGATAAAGGCAAACACACACACACACACATACATGCATACACCCTGGACAGTTTGTGGCCAAGACAGCGAAAACCCAAGCAATTATCAATCATGCATTTTAAAGGTGTAGTCTTTCCTAGTTCCTATTTATGTGCACTTTGTTTCATTCTTCCGTATTCATATACTCCCGTTTATCTTTGTTCTTCCTTTTCTGCTCTCGATTCCTTAATTATTCTTTCCATATACCACTAATTTCTTACACTTCCTTTCATCTTTGTTTTTCTATACTCTTTTCTTCGCCTTTATGATTTCCGTACTCTGTCTCCTTAGTCTCTACTCTATTCTTCCTCCTACACCTCGGATTGTTATATTTTCCTTACACCGATAATTTCTTATACCCATCTTCATCTTGATTCTTCCTACACTCGTTTCTTCATCGTTATTCTTCCTATACTCTTCGTCATCTTTAATCCTTGTCATCTTTCTTCGCACTTTTATATTCTTCTTGTTCGTATTTCAACATTTGTAATCCTGTTGTCATATTAATATTATATTTGTTCAATTCATCCTTGTACTTACAATACGCTTTTTGCCCACTCTTCTTATTTCTTTTTAACCTTTCCACGCCTCCTTTATTTTTATGCCCCACCTCAAGTACATATTCTGCATACACCACTTCATTTACTAAGCCCACTTGCATCATTTTCCTCCAGTTCTCATGATTCTCTCGTGTTTAACTGTTTAATCCCCATGTTACTATTAATTTATTTACATCTCCTCATCCTTTTACTTAATATGCTCCTCTTCTCTGTACTCATCTTTATACTAATGCTTTCTGTACCAACCCATCCTTTTCATTATGCTGTTCTTGCCACTCTGCCCCTCACCCTTT